CAAGTGTAGAATGCAATTGGGGAAAAAGAGACTTACTTATGTCCATTGAAATTTGAGTGCTTTTGTCATGGAACTTGACAAGCAGATTCTTCAATCTGTGTCCAAGACTAAAATTTCAAATGTAGCCAAAATAATTGGGAACACTTATATCCTACACTAAAGTAAATAAATGCAGAAAGATATTGGCATAGTGGTAGACAAAAAAATCAATGAAACAAAATAGAGAGCTCAGAAATGAAGCCTCCTATGGCAGTGGGCAGATATGTATTCATCAAACCATCTTTCTTTCTCCTGGATATAAATTAAATTATACTTCTCAGCCTGACTTGCTGGTCCTGTTCCAACCAATGGACTGAAGACATAAATAATACATCTCACTCTCAGCCATGACCCATAAAGTCTTCCCATGAACAATTTACTTTTTTCTCATCTAACAGCTGAATACTATTAACTTCTCTTGAAAACCAAAGAGAAGGGCAAAGGGATTGGGGCCCCCGAGTTCTACCCAGAGGATATCTTCCTAAAACAGCATACCATACCATCCAGATCATCTGGGTTAGATGGCCCATGACCTAAAAATGAACTTATGTGAAGTTATTGAGATTTGAGGGCTGGGCTGTATACCTTCCTTAATACATTATTCCTGAATGGAAACTTGGTTATGCAGAATGCAAAGACAGACTATGCACTGTACAGGGCAGGGAGAGTTGTCTATTTTTGTAGAAAACAATTATAAATTTTGTTCCTATTCCATTTCTCATTCTGGGTAGATTATGTGAAAACAAAACAAATTTAAAAGAAAACTTTGAGAAGAATACATAGGAGAACATCTTTGTGATATTAGGATAGGGAATGGAACTGTAAGACACATGAAGTGCAAATCAAGGAGAAAAAATGATAAAAAATCAACTCCATTAAAATAAAAAAAAGTTCAGGGGGTGAAGGGAGGGCAGGAACAAGGGGGAAAAATGAGAACCAAGACCTGTCATGTAAAGGTACAGGATCCCAGCGATGAATGTAACTGTACTGTATACCTACAATGTACCAATAAACTCAATAAAAAGAAAAAAAAAGTTCTCAATGGTACCATAAGTATAAATTTAAGGAAAAGGTGGGCAGGCATTTAAAAAAACTCAACACCATGACTGACTCAGAAACTGAAAACCAATGTCGTGCCCATCTGATTACCAGAATTAAATTCCAGTGATATTACATTTGCTACTGTAGTTAGTGTAAATCTCAACAAGGAATTTGTGGTGCAGCTTTGAATATCTAGGAAAGTTGAACAAACTTTCATAAATCCCAGCATTTCACTGACAGTGGAATTGATGATGTTTTATACTTCTCGATCTTGGTGGTCCATTGTGTTAATAACCTTTCCCCAATGTTTTACTAGGTCTGAAATTGTTCACCTTTTTGTTTTTTGTTTTTGTTTTTTTGTTTTGTTTTGTTTTGTTTTTTTGGTACCTGGGAAGGAACTGGGGACCTTTTGCCTTTGAGGCAGGTGGTGACAGCACTGAGCTAAATCCTCAGTCCTTGTTCAGCATATTTTTTAAGGTAACCCTAATTGTCATTCTTTTCTTTAGTCCCATCACCTGAGGTATGATGCAATTTCCTTTTGTCCTTTTTCACATAGACTACCCATTAGATATGAATCTTGGAAAACTTTCCAAGTTCCTTTAAAAAACTGATTTACTTTGAGACTATCTGTAGCACTTAAATTTAGCATGTGAGTTAATAATTAACAGTCAGCACATACAATATACCATATTCCATTTTCTTTATTAACTCTTGCATCACATTTTGTAAATTTAAATTGAATTTATTGGTACATTGTAGGTAGACAGTACAGTTACATTCATTACTGGGATCTTTTACCTTTACATGACAGGTCTTGGTTCTCATTTTTCCCCTTGTCCCTGCCCTCCCTCCACCTCCCCTCCCCTCCCCACCTACAAACACTTTAATTCCATTTTTACATTTTCTCATATGTTTCCCCTTTCCCTTATTCCCCTTTCCCTATCCTTCTCACTGTTCCTACACCTTTGGTTCTTTTCTTCCTATTTCACATTGCTAATTATCCCATTAGGATCTTGAGTACTATTTTAGTTTTTCACACCAGAGAAAATTCACTTACTTTGGGTCTTTTAATTCTCACAACAGTTCTATGAAGAAGATTATCATTTCCTACTGACAAATAAAGAAGCTGATGGGAGATGGGAGGTGTGGGAGGTGGTCCTCATGCCTTGGACATCTTATTCCCCTGTCTGCACTTTGCCAGCGTTTCTGCTGCTCTGTGGCCAAGCTCCAGGGTGGATAAATTGTCTGATAAATTGGGGCCAGAGTAAGATGGGATTGTTTGGGAGTGAGATGACTGAATAGCCACTTTGACTCTTAATTCTCCACTTTTTTCTGGCTTACATAAGCAGTTTGTTTATTTCCAGTTGTTTTCTTCCTATTCTCACGCAGTGGCTTAATGTTGTTATCATTGTTGTGAAGTACTTGGAGCTTTTATAGAATTTAGCAGCTATTTCCAAATTTAGAGTACTTTTACTGAATAATGTAGCTTTAATTACTGGCCAACTGAATTGGTTTCTAAACAAATAGAACTGTTTATTGCTAGCTGTTTCCCACAATAATGAACAAGATGGGGTTTTATCATTTTATTTTATTTCATGTTTTAATACTGCAATCCTCTCTCAAGTACATAGCTTCCTTGAAACACGTAGTTCATAGACAGATTTCTTCCCAGCCTGGAAAGCAGCCAGATCTCAAAATTGACGTGTTCACTGAATAATAAATTTAATGTATTAAAATCATGCCAGATGCAAAAGGATTTGATATAAGGCTATTTGAATTCTGTAAATGATACAAAGTATTTCTCTTCTTAAAATGTTTTAATAAATTGTTAAATAAAAAACTGTGTGTGAACAGTTTTGTGTTCAATCAGCTTCAACATATTTCACTGAGTAGATTATTCTGGCAGTATGTCAGCAGTAAGCTAGACATTAGACAATTCCATGCAAAATATTTCCAATGGCCAAGCCCTTCTCTCATCTGAAGTATAATACAAAATTCCAGAGAGTCTGTTTTCTAGCACCAGGGACTGGTGAACCTGCTTAATAATTCAAAAGTTATGGCTTTCTGGGTTGTAAGCTTCTGCTGCTACTTTTCTTGACTGAGTTTGGATCAAACATGTGTGTGCTTGTTTTTGTGACACCAAAGACAAGGCAGACCCCTTTCCATGGAGTCCCAGAGTGTTTGGCATACAGTGGTCAGTGCATTCCCCCAGCCATGTTTACAACTGTTAAAATCCTTGCATAGCACCTCAAAATAGCTGTATGGCATAAACTCTGAGAAAAATCATATATTCTGTATTTTCCCTTCCTACATATCCTCTTCCTTAGAAACAACATAAATCTCACAGATTTTAAACAGACCTTTTGACTTTAGAGGGAGAAAATCAATAATCTCTTACTCTAAATGGTTGATGAAACCTCTGGTTGTACTGAACACTGCAAAGCATTTTAATAATGCTACCATATTAATGCAGGCCCTATCTCAATAGAATATTATGACCATCCTTTTAGAATGATAGAAACAAAAAATTAAGTTTTCACTCTAATGGTGTCACTGTCCAATCTTTCACCTCCTCCAGATGTCATTGCTTGTTATTCATGGTAGATGGTCGTGATCATATATATATATATATTTTTTTTTCTTTTAACAGGAAATAGAGAAATGGTGATATCACTATCTTTAAGTGTTTGCAAATATATAGATCACAAAAGATCTGGAAGAAAAGTTTGGACCTCAGCAATTTTTCATATTTAAATCTGACACAAGACAAGAAACACACACATCCCAATATACCATATCTTCATAATGTCAGAGCAGTTGATTGTGAGAAGCTGTCTTGCAGACAATAAATGGCTTCTATATTGAGTAGTAAATAGAAGTTATCCATACTTTTCTTCTGCTTGTGAATTTAATGAGGCTGGAGTGCAATGTCCTCCAAGCTTAAAGAGTACTCCACTTCCCAAACAAAAAATATTTGTGCGTTACAAAAGGATTCTCTGTCTTATGCTCCTTAACTTAATTGCAAGCCTTCTATTCTGGAGGTAACTGAGCTGGAGTTCTAGGATCTCTGAACAAATAACCTGGGCTATCTATATCCATGCTATTCACATTTCTGAATTCAACCAAATGGTGATCAAAATTATTCAGAGATTTGGAGTATAACTCAGTGGTAGAGAACTTGCCCTGCATGGGAAGGGCCCCAAGTTCAATCCCCAGCCCTACAAGTCAAAGAGGAGGAAAAGCTTTGCCTCTGTGCTGAACGTGCACAGATATACATTCTTTTTTTTCTTGTCATTATTCCCTATACAATACAGTATAACAACTATTCACGTAGAATTTACATTGTATTAAGTATTATAAGTTATTTAAGAGATGATTAAAAGTAGAGAATGTGCATAGGGTTTATGTAAATCTGATGGCATTTTTTCCTAAGGGACTTAGGCAGTTGCAGATTTTGATATCCACAACAGGGTTCTTTAGCCAATCCCCCATTGATATCAAGGGATGTCTGAATTTTTATTCTCATCTCTCCTGGGTCACTCACATTCTATTTTAAGAAACAGCTGCTCATCCTCTGGGAATTATCCAGTTAATGCTTGTCATAATCACATACAATTGTACATACACATAAGCAAAGTGTGTGTGTGTGTGTGTGTGTGTGTGTGTGTGTACCATATCAGAAGAGAATGGCTTCTCTGTCTTCAAGGTAGGAGATTTGAGTGATGGACTATTTGTGCATTAACTAAAGGAAGTTTTTTTCTATAATCTGTTCAAGAGAAATACTTTTCAAAGCCACTCACCAAGAGGTCGATTTCTGAACTCAACACAGCCTGAGGATTGGTTGACAAATGCCAAAGTTGAGGAGGGGCGGCATCCATTTTTCATAAAGATATAACTAATACACCTACTGATTCCCACAGGTTCAACCTTTGGGAGTGAAGAACAGCCAGTGCTGAAGGCAGCTGTACCTTATAAGGACACACCTAAGGGGGCCAGCCGGGTGGCCTCTGCAGCATCATCCAGTGTGACAACACCTCGCAGGAGTTTACTTCCAGCACCCAAATCCACTTTGACACCTACTGGTAAGACTTCTGCCTGGGAAAAGCTCCATAGGGGAGAGCCCTTTCTGCATTAATAAAAAGTTCTTTGAAAGTCCTTGTCTACATCCGCTGTTTAGACGGGGTAACAGATGAATTTTAAATGGCTTTTAAAATTATTAATAATATGACTATTTTCAAGGCACTTTCATATGTTCACATATTTAAATTCTCACAGCTGCCTCACACTCCTCCCCCTGCCTGGTTACCCTTTGAATCACACAGTTTCACTTTCAGAAAGCAAGAACCAAGCTATTTTAAGCATACTGACACTAGGATCAGAGAAGAGGGTGTGCATGAAATCATTTGGAAGTCTGTCTGTGCCTCCAGAAATGCCCCAGAACCCAGTGGGGGAACTTTTACCCCTGCTGGGTCCTGGTTTGCACCTACAAAGCTGAGTGTGTGACCCCGCTAGGGACCTGCTGCTACTGTAGCATGTTTTATTCCGGAGCCTTGCTGTACACGCTAGGTCTATGCCAGCAGCACAGAGTCCTGTGCCCTGCCTCTCCTTGCTCATGACACAAGTGGCTGGACATGAGAAACTTAGCCACACAAAGAACAGAGCAGGAAGGTGCTTGTCCACACACTGCAGAGGCAATCTATTCCAGTCCACACTGCAACTCTCTCACCTTCCACATGTGCCTGCAGTGATGTTTGAGAATGTTGTCCTTAGTTCTCTATCTGCACTGTGGAAAGTGCACAATTAGGATGGTAGATGCCCCATCCTGACCATCATAGATGGATCACTGAGATTGGTATTTATTCCTTCATATTTTCTTCTATAAATATAATCATATATCAATATATATGTACATACATTATGAATTCTGTGGGTATTTTGAAAAAGAGATGGCATTATAAGTTGAACATCTCATCTGATGCCAAGGATTTAGTTCAGTGGCACCTCACCTGCCTTGTAAAAGCAAGGTCCTGAGTTTGACCCTGGTACCAAAATTTTCTTTTAAATTTAAAAACTGCTCCAAATTTGGAAAAATTTTAAATACTGAGATGACAAGTAGGAAATTTCTCAACTTGTCTTCATATGGTGGATCACCGTCAAAATTCAGGTACACTAAAAATATTGTTTAAAATTATCTCCAGGCTGTGTACAGAAGGATACATGAAACACAAATGAATTTTGTGCTTAGATTTGAGTCTTATCTCCATGATACACACACACACACACACACACACACATTCTAGAATCTGAAATATAAAGCACTTCTCTGGTCCTGAGCACTTTGAATGAGGGATATTCAACCTGTGTACCAATTTTTCTACATATTGTTTTGCTTATTTGAAAGTATGTCATAGAAAGACTTTCAAGTCAGTGATATGGCTTATTAGTACCAGTAGCTTCAGGATGTAGATATATGATGATTTATTAAGCCATCCCCTACTATGGGGCATTCATTCACTTTGTAACTGGCATCTGGTGCACCAAACAGCACTGCAGGAAAGATCCTTGAATGGATGCATTCATCCCATGGGATCAATATCTAGGAGTGGAATTGCTACACTTGAAGCATTAATAGAACCACCTAGATTCCTTTTCAAAGAGGCTTCAGTCTTTCATGGTTCCACCCACATACCTGCAGGGAATAGGTATTCCTTTCTAAAATTTTGATCCACTTGATGGGAGTGAAGTCTTACCTCACTGTTTTTTTTCAATTTTCACCTCCCTGGCCACAAGGCTAGCTGAAGTTCCCTGCTCCTGCTATAGCAGCACCTTGTGATTCACTTTGGTAAAGTTTAAATTGGCTTGTCTAATTCCATTCTTCCATAAGGGATAGTGAGCTTCTTGGAGTAGTGACCATTTCTCTTTGGTGAAACCAAAAGACAGTGCTGCTACAGTGACTGATTCACAGCAGTACTTAACATCTATTTGTTAATTGTTCAATTAACAAAAGAATGAATGAATGTCACATGGCCTTTGAATCTTCAGTTTGGCATTACTTTAATTATAAAATAATTAGACAAACCCATGGGAGTTGCAGTTGTCAAATCAACTCTACAAACCAATGCTTCTCAAACTGTAGTGTATCAGAGTCGTCCGTAAATTTTGAAACCACAGGTTAGTTCTCCCTAGAGTTTCTGATTCAGTAGGTTTGGATTAGGGTCTGAAAATTTGCATTTCTAATAAAACCCCGAGTGATGTTGCTGATGATGATACAAGGCTCACACTTTGTGAACCACTATTACAAAAACACCTGGCTACAATTTTCAACAGCTAGTTCTTAGGGAAAGAAATGTAAACAACTTACTCATCATGAGGAAAACATAAAACAAGACTACAGTGGACTACAATATTGTGCCTATCAGACACTGAAATCTAGGTTTGACAACAACTACATTTGTGAGACTGTCAGGAAACAAACAGTCTCATACATTTTTGGTAGGAGTATAAAATGATACAACTCTTGTGAATAGGAATTAGTCAATAGCCTACAAAATTATACGTGAATTTATTCTTTTACTTGGTATACCCACTCCTATGAATCTTTCCTGAAGGTGGACTGTCAAATATCCAGGGCATGAAGTGGTTCATTAAAGCACTGTTTGAAGTAGCAAAAAAAAAAAATGAAAATAACTCAAATTCCCATTAATCAGGCATTGACTGAATAGATTGAGATATAGTGCTTCTCAGCTGTTATGTAAGTGTTATGTGTTCTGCTACTAGAAAATGATTCTGTAGGGATATCATTAATAAGAAAGGTAGAGAAAATGTGTTTAGTGTATATAAACAATAGGGACACTTTATATTGTATCTGCACTTATATTAATAGAAAGCAATAGAAGAATAACTTGCGGATTTTTAAAAAAATGATTATCCTTAAAGAAAAAGAAGGAAGAAGAGGTTAATGATAGTCTTGATTACATCTTTTTTATAGTTTTGACTTCGAAGTCCTGTAACATTTTACAAAATTATACATTAACATTACATTTTACCTTTTATTTTTATTTTTTGAGTGAGGGTGCTGGGAGTTGAACTCAGGACCTTGTGCTTGCAAGGCAGGTGCAGTGCCACTGAGCTAACTCCCTGGCCCTAACATTAAATTTTAAAAGATGATACCTGAAAACTACAAAGTGAAATTAAAGAGATGAAAGTAATTATATAGAATTTTGGTGGCATAGTCACACATAAAAGAACTATTTCCAGTGACCTTAAAACCCAGTAATTTAATCTAGGCCCCTAGAAGAATATAGCGCATCCCCAACTTATGAACTTTGAGTTGCAAACTTTCATAGGAGTCCTGTATAAGATTTACAGGTGTTCTGTATAAGACTCACTTTGTCAGATTACAAATGAATCCAATTTATGAACATTCTCCTGGAACAGAACTTGTTCATAAGTCAGGGACTTGATGTATCCTCTAGGTTCAGAAAGAATTCCAACAAAAATTATAAACTGTTTTCAGTAATTATATTATTGGTGGTAGTGTTACTATTATGATTCTATATCTGCTAATATTCTAAATTTGTGTCTTAGGGGATAAATGTGATATGGGATAACATATGAAGTCATTTGTTGGTTATATTTTTTAAAAGAAAGATTCCCAGCTGTGTCTATACACCCCTTATATCCAGATTGTGATCTCTAAACACATTTCCCACTAAATGAAGACAAGGCTCCTTGAAGAAATAGCTGATTCCAAGTCTAGGACCAGAAGTACAGACCCCAGAACAAGTACAGTGAAATAATACTCACCAAAATATGCATATACTCATGAGTTATGCAGTAAAACATACACAAACAAGGCTAGTCACTAGGATGCTAGGAAATAACCTCATTATTTTGCAATGTGGTAAATTGAAAAACAAACATTTTAACTACTTCTCCAATTTATACCTTGACCAAATGTTGATGAGAGGGAAGTTTCTCTTCATAAAAGTAGTCAATCTAATGAAGGAATGATTACAATAGAGTAAAAGCTTTTGGTGGCTCGTCATGAGTCAGTGGGTGAAGGCAATGGCCATCAATCAAAAGACAACCATATGTTATTAACTATACTGATGGAAGTATATACAAATTACTTGTGCATTAATCTTAGGGGGGAAATGAATCTGAGTTAGCCTCTAGATTTAAATACTAATTTACTGGAAATAAAAAGGAATACAGCAAAGTATGTTAAGTAATATCTGGGGATAGAATCAGATTCTGAGAAACATTATAAGAAAACCAGCTAATTTACTCAACAATAGGAACAACAAAATTTCAAAAAAAAAAAGGAAAAAATCTTTGGAAGAAATAAAGGACATGGAGTGGAACCGTATAGATGACCAAAACCAGACATATCAACTAGTTCTAAAATATGGATTTAATTTTGTATCTTAATTCAAACACGTCAAAAAAATTTTGAAGCCAATTGGGAAAATGTGAACACTGCCTATTTGATTTTATTAAGGAGTCTGTTAATAGGTTAGTCTTGTAGTACTTTTTAAAAGTCATATTTTAGAAATTCACACATGTGAAATGATACATCATTCACATATATGAAATTTGAAGTTAGCTTTTCACACTGGAGATTGACCCCTCCACCTTTATACTGAGCTAAGCCCCAGCCCCCAACCCTGCCCTCAGAGTAAAATCTCTGAGACAGGTTCTCACTGTCACTAAATTTCCAGGTTGTGGTGGAACTTGCATTCTTCCTGCCTTGGCTTCCAGGGTGGTGGGATTAGAGGTGTGAAATTTATTTGGCCTTACAGTTTTGGAGGCCACAATCCATGATCAAGTAGTCTTGTTGTTTTTGGGTCATGGCAGGAGCATATGAGAAACAAAGATTCTTACCTCATAGCTTTAGAAAAGTGATGAAGAAGGAGCCTGGGGTCCCATTGTCCCCTCCAAGGGTATATCCACTGTGCCTAGAAGATCTTCCATTAGGCCTGACCTCTTTAAGTTTCTACCACCTCCTAAAGCTTGGGACTAAACCTGCAATAAACTTTGGGTGACATTTAAGATCCAGACTATTGAATGTGTTATCTGG